TATATATATATATATATATATATATATATAAATATATATATATATATATATATATATATATATATATATATATATATATATATATATATATATATATATATATATATATATATATATATATATATATATATATATATATATATATATATATAAACAAACCAAGATGATACAAGACGCCAAGTGCATAGTTAACTAGAGAGCTAAATTAAAGGCCATAAAATGATGGCTTTATTCATCAACTTTTCCCTCTATTCAGATCATCACATTCTTTAAAATGCAAACAACGTTTATTATACTACTCCGTATTATTCATCATTAAGTTTCTTTCACTTTTTTATTTTATTTTTGTTTTATACTCCAACTAATTCTTATGCTCACATATAGCTGTAGACGACGAGACATGTGATGAAGTGGGCTTTCCTATATATACCTAAAAATTATACTCCTTGCGTCCCATTTTCTAATTTGACTTTTTACTATATTTTAACGTAACACTTTGACCATTAATATCTTTATTTATATATAGATACTATACATCATAAAAATATGATACCAGTAGTACAAAACTCTATTTTGAAATTAACTTATTGATATTAAATTTATGTTACAATATAATATATTTTTCTTTAATTTATAGTCAAAGTTTAAAAACGTTGATCATGAAAATGAATTGGGAAAGAATCATAAGGGACATTATGACTCATGCAAACTATTAGAAATAATAGTTTAACCATTAATATCTTTATTTATATAAAGATACCATACATCATAAAAATATGATACCAATATTACAAAACTCTATTTTGAAATTAACTTATTGATATTAAATTTATGTCACAATATAATATATTTTTCTTTAATTTATAGTCAAAATTTAAAAACGTTGATCATGAAAATGAATCGGGAAAGAATCATAAGGGACATTATGACTCATGCAAACTATTAGAAATAATAGGAATAATAAGAAAAAAAATATTATTGTTGATTACTTTCCTTATTCTATTGTTTCTAAAATTGTAATTCAACTATGAATCTATGATTAAGATTCTCTCTTATCACTACTACAAAAATGACCAAATCAACTATCTCATTTGTATCAGTTTAAAAAGAAACATATGCAAATAAAGCAGTCAAATTTTACACACCACTTTATTTGCATCAGTTATTACTAATAATCAATGCAAATATTAGTTGTATCGGTTATTAGTAATAACCGATGCAAAAGTATAAAAGTATTAACCAATACATATGGTATTTGCATCAGTTATTAGTAATAATCGATGTAAAAAGCTTTATTAAAGCCAACCACCTAGCCTTTATCTTTTACGCGTTCGTCCATGTAATGCCTCGAAACTCGGCCTATCAGACTGAATTACTTAATAATTATTAATTAGATAAATTAAATATTGAGACTGACCTAGAGTTTATTTTAAATATTCAATAATAAAACATAAAAATTATACTGTTGTGTAAGGTTCGACGATACAAATCCGATAGGGCAAACAGATTTGAACTCAAAGCAAGTTCGCCTGAAAGGTGTATTTTATATCAAGGCATGTTATTTAATTACGGAGCCCAAAACTCCATACCTATAAATATAACCCTACACGCCTAAACCCCCCTATTGCTGCCCTATTACGTAACTCTCTCTCTCACTCTCGTCTCTCTCTCTCAACTCTTTCTGTCGATCAGAGAAGAGCAGCGACAGCGAGAAACAAGGATAGAACTGAGGAAGAAGGAGAAGGAAAAAGAAGAAGGAAGAAGAAGAACCCACTACCGTGCACCGCCGTTCGTTGGATTGGTTCTACGTAGTTAACCTTCTGATGAATTTGAGGCAAGTAGTGGCCATCTAACGTTAGTTGTGCTTATAAGTTTTGAATCTTACGCTCGTAGGATTATTATAGTTGAATTGTGTGAAAACCTATTTTAGGTAGCTTGTTGGGATTTGTTGATTTGAATTCATGAATGGGTTATGTTTGATCATGGTTAGGTTCAACATAGTTAGGAATTGGTTTATGAATGTATTCATGATGAAATTTTGGAGTCTGGATGTTGGTTTTGCTGTAAAATCGTGCTGGTGCGTAAATAGGTAAACTTCACGTCACACGGTAACAAGTACCGGCCTACTGGTACCCTGATACCGCTTGAGGCTTTTTGGTACTGCTAGAACCTGTGACTGTTCGTACATAAGTACCAGACGGACGTTAGGCCCTACTGCCATGATGGTACCTGGCTATTGTCATAGGTCATCTGGTGCTGGAGGACTCTCTCCCAGCCAGTACTACCGCGTGGACAGTTCCTAGGTACCATGCTGGTACCCCAGTACCAAACTAGGTAACGTCTATTGCCTAGAGTTTTTTCAAAAGTCTGTTTTTGTTTTGAGGGCTAATTTCGAGACCTTGTATGTTGCATGAGAGTATGCATGGGTGCTCACACCTAGGGCTAGGCCGATGGTTGATCATGTTTGTTTAAGTTGGATATGATTATGCTTCTCTTATGTGATATGCACTTGAGAATGTAATATGACATTAAAGTAACATATGAATCTAGAGGAATTCTAGGATTTGACCTGAATGGAATAGAGGCAAGTTATGCCATAAGTATAGAACGGTTATAGCCATGTGGAACCTGCTGGGTCCAATGGCTATTCGGGTACAAACATGCGCACGGATCTATGAACTGTCGTTCTGAAACCAATCCTGGAGGATGTTGAGGGCAAAGGGATGTGTGTGGATGCGTTTGAGGATTATTACATTATTATTTGTCATTTAATAAGTTATTATTTTAATGGGCTTGAACCCGAAGTTTTGTTTTGCATAATGACATACGCTTCTGCACCGTTTTTATTACTCCGATGAATGATTGAAATTGTACTTGAAGTATTTATTTTGAATTGTTTGAAAATGAGTTGTGTTTGGATATCAATTTACTAACAACCTGGTTCACTGACCTTTGTATTCGGGTTATGCAGGTTAGAGTGTTACATTTTTGTATCAGAGCACATGGTTTTAAAATTGATCTTCGGATCACAAAGAAACGACTTTCCACAGGCTGCACCACATCTCTTGCGGCTCTTCAGCCCCGGGAAGGTTACAAATTTCTATTTTTGTATGTTATGTGTTGTTAACTGAATGGGAAATTTATGTTCATAGAATGCATCAAACATCAACCCACGGTCATGGTAACTCACAACGCGACAACAACGAGCACGTCGACGCCTAATCCGAAACGCCTAGCTTTGTCCCGCAACAGAATCCCGAATAATCGAACACTTCCTCGAACACGGGAGTTAATTACAACAACACCAACCATCCCAAAGTCGTTATGCCTACCTTCATGGTACAATTCCTGTAACAGATGGTGAACGCTCCAACGTTTCACCCCCCTCCTCCACGACAACCACGACAAATAACCTTGAAGTACAACGGAGTAGAGGAATTCCTTTGGGACCGAATTGTTGAGCCCTAAGTTGCACTAGATTGGATTGACCAGGTTGCCATTGAAAGACTTGAATGTCCCGATAATGGATCTGCCGAGGGTCACGTCTCAGCTGCTCCGGAAGGGAGCATACAAATGGTGAAAGCGTGTCGATAGAGACGAGAAGACGCCGAAGCCTTGGACTCGGGCCTATTTTGATTGGGCCTTCAAGAAGGAACACATATCAGCTCGCTTCCGAGAGGAGAAGCATACAAATTTCATGGAGCTATAGCAGGGAGACATGACCCTTTCCGAGATACGCCAAAGGTTCGACCATTTGGCCTTGTTTGCACCAACGCTGGGTCCACACCAGCAGACCGCATTGAGGAGTTCAGAAAGAGGTTGCATCAAGACGTCAGACCTCACATCTCTCTCCTGACCACAATGAATTTCTCTCGTTCATATGACCTTATGGCTAAGGTTGAGAAGGATGTCGACGACTACAAGGCAAGTATAGGAACAAGAGAGGGTAGACCGAATAACTATCCCAAAATTAGTGCAGCACCAAGTGCATCCCATGGAGGTAAGAGGCCATTTGGGGGTGCCAAGGGTGCCCCAAGTTCTAAGAAGACAAAATCTGTGTGAGCTCAGTCTCAAGCGGTGAGCAACAAATCTAAACCCTCAAGGTATCCCATTTGCAATCTATGTGGGAGGAACCATCCGTGAGAGTGTTGGTTCACGCAGGATTCATGCAAAGAAGTTTGATTTTATCCTTAGTATGGATTTGCTAACCGACCACCAAGCAATAATTGATTGTAGATTACGCAAGGTGCGACTGAAGACTGATGATGGTAGTTGATAAGTCCATTTCATTCTTATCATTTGCATCATATTCTAAATGTTATTGCACGTAAATAGTATTTAATCATCTCATAAAATGTGATTTTAATGGATAAAACTCGCATTTTCGTTCTAAGAGTCATAAAAAGGTATTCCACATGAAATCATCATAAATCATCCATTTTATGTTCAAATACTTGAGAAAGGATGAAGAATCATCAAGGGATCAAGATCCGGGCTTGAACGAGCTTCCGAGAGGTCAAAAACAGTGTTCGGGGCCAAAAAGAAGTGAAACTGGGCCAAAACTACGAACGAGCCGTAAAGCCCAACAAGAGAAGGGCCTGAGGCGTCCAACTTGGGCGCTTGGCCAAGTTGGACGCTTGGGGTTGGACGCCTAAGTTACCTGGTGACACGGCTTTGCCACGCGGCACAACGCGACTGGACCGAACATGTACGAGGGCTACAGGCGTCCAAAGTTGGACACCCAGAGAGTTGGACGCCCGTTGTCTCTACACTATAAATACAGCGCTCCTCTCCACC